TGGCCTGAGCTGAGCAGCCCCTCAGCTTTTGTGCCTTTAGGCTAATACTCTACCACTTGAGCTACAGCTCCACTTCCAACTTTTTGGTGGTTAAGTGGCAATAAGAGTCTCACAGACTTTCCTAATGGGCTGGTTCCTTAGTAGCTAGGATTACAGGTATGAGCCACTGACGCCTGTCTCTGCTTTTACTATTCTTGGCAGTATCAAGATTGAACTCAGGGCCTTGCACTTGCTAGGCAGGCACTCTACTACTTGAACCAGCTCTCAGCCCAAAGTGAGTGTCCTTATTAGAGTAGTTGCTGCTGGATCACCTGCAGGACACAGCTCCCTCCACACGACTGTGCATTTGGGATATTGAGGGCTACTGGCACCTCAGGGGAAGTTGAATAGAAGGGTAGAAAGCAACCAACACTACCTTGGCGTCATACTCCGATCCTTCCAACTGCTCCGGTGAAGCATACAGACAAGTCCCCACTTGCGAAGTATGCACTGGCATGCCTACGATTTAAAAAGCCACCTGTTACCCCTCGCCATCCACCATAAGGGACCCATATTACAAACAGGGCACTGGAGCAGCTGGGAAATAGCAATCACCTTTCTTCTTTATTGGAGCTTTGTTGATGAATGTCTAGGGTGTTCTTAAACAGTGGCATGTTCAACCATGTCTCTCTTTATGCAAAATTAAAAAAAAACAGACCCTCACCTTTCCCATCTCTATTCGTCCAATCTGTGCTCTGTATAATATCTGTGCAAGCCAGGCCAAAGTCTCCGATCTTTACTTGCTGGTCTGGGCCATGAAGAAATATATTTCTTGGCTATAAAGAAACAAGACAGTTCATTAATTTTCATAGAACAAACAGTGATAGCTTGAATCCTCCATCCTCCCCATCTCAGCCTCCCACATAGGTAGGATGACAGGCATGAATCTGCCACTACCACTGGCAACTTTGCTCTTAAGAGCTCCCAGATGATTCTACATTAGCCAGGCTTGAGAGCCATTAGCTCACACTTTGAAGGTATACAGACCCAAAACATCCCACTGGACCATCCCTATACTAGTAAAGCTGCATCTACACTAGTGGGAGAAAGACTTTGCTAAAATTTAAAAATTCGGGCTGGGAAGATGGCTCAGTGGTAGAGTGCGTGCCTTGCATGCCTGAGGCCCTGGGTTCAATTCCTCAGCACCACATAAGCAAAAAGAAAAAAAGCCGGAAGTGGCGCTGTGGCTCA